CTTATCTGATGTTAAGTCAAACTACAGGCCATGGACCCTCAGACTACCAGAAGCATCGCTGGTGGATTGCCAGTCTTTTAGTTACGCTCCTATAAGCATGCAATAGCAGTGTTCGTGTGTACCAACGGCGTGTTAAAGAAGGTAGAAGGAAGAAATGGCTTCGCAAGGTAAGGGAGTAGACGAAGGTGTTGCGATTGCGGAAGAGTTGCTGCACATGGGTCAGGACAAGACAGGCTTAACGAGACAGACGGCCAACCTCCAGTAATGGAGAAGCACCAGAAAAAGCAGTATTCGTCTGGGTTGAGTCTGTGATGCCTAGTCCTGAGGTCGTGGGCTCTAATTACAGCTGTGGGCTTTTAACGATAGCTAGTATAAATTATTTACGCTTTTTTCTGAGTGCATTAGACTATATACTCGAAATAAAAACAATCTCTCTCTTCAGTCGGGAGCTCATATCTGAGCGTCGTGGTCATCCTGGAAAGATCTGGAGCGGACTATCTGTTTATATCTGTGTCCAGCGCCTCTCTTATGATAGTGTACAGTTTTGAGGACGATAAGTCTTTCACTTGATCGGCCTTGTGTTACCAACTACGATACGTTTCTCCAAGTTCTCATTGGCGCATTATATAATAAAACATTAAAAGCGATGAATATTACAAGTAAAGTTCACTGACAAAAACGTGTTCCCGCCCGACCAAGTTAACAGGAAGCAAATGGAAATTAACTCCGTGAAGTTCAGAGGATTGTCCGATTAATAAGACTTTTAACATTTCGAAGCAATTATAAACGAGTGGAGCCGCACGCGAATCATATAGAAAGGTTAATCGGCTATAAATCTTCGTGGGCAGGTGCAGTGCCATCTGCCGGCAATCTTTAGCAACAATTATCTGATCAAACAGCACTTATAGTTCATTAGTTTCGTATGACTGATCTAATTTGTATTCATGGCACGGGCTGGACGTGGTCGATGTAATGTAGAGCATAGCTGATCATAGACAATTGTAGAATACTCTACTTTATAGTCTTGAGACATTCGAATTTTAAATACAGACACGCTTTAAAATTTTTAATTCGTTGTCGACGGAATAGTAAGAGTTAAGCAAACGTTGCCGTGGCATGAATGATGGATGGGTTCCCGCCTGAACTCCACCTGTACACACAATCACTAGTATCCACAGAAGGCCTAGGCCCAGGAGCCTAGATGACTAAAATTATGACGGCTGTTTGATGGCGACGTGCATTTCGTTCAAAAAACAAGTTATTATTTTCATTGAGACAAAAACCTCACCGGACTTAACGAATTCTTCGAGAGTCAAAGTTCCGTAACTACAAAGTTGCAAGCATTCCTTACCAAGCGAAAGGAATGTATAAAAAAACAAGTAAATTACGCAGTTTTAATTGAACTGTTGACTTTATAATTAATTTTAAGTACTTGTCTAATCCCTTTATATAGTATGCGTGGATCAAGGGAAAGGAGCGCAAAAAAAGATGAAAAAAAGAAATAGAAGCGGTAGCAGGAAGCGAATAGAAGCTGTGTATTCTTTTATAATTATTGGAAATTAAACAAACTTTCATCTTAATTATTATTACTGACCATAAGCGCGGTAAAAAAAATTTAATACGATTTTCAAGCCCCAAACATTTGTTTTACTATTGCAGTATCGCTTATTTAAAGTTTTAATAAATCGCTTTATTTAAATAGATTCATTACAAAGCTAAAACCGATTTTAAAAAGACGTAGAGTCTTCCACAACTAACCGTTTTTTAAAGCTCCGAATCTATTCGACTTAGGGTCATTCAAGAAAAGAGCGTACTAATCTCTTAAAGGCCGGCAACGCACTTGCAAGCCCTTTGGCAATGTGAGTGTCCATGAGCGGTATCATTTAACATCAGGTGAGCATCCCGTCCGTTTGCCCAAGTTGCCCAAATATAATAAAAAAAGCAAAGAAACCTATAGCTAGAATACCAAACCGTAATCGAACCTCATTTGTCAGTCAGAAATAGAGACATGAGAAACTTTTTTAGAATACGGGTCTAAGCCAAATGCAGAAACTTTAAAAATATCCAAATCGATTTAACTGTAAAATTTAAGAAAATTGATTTGTCATACTGAAATAAACTTTTTCAAATAAAAAAGAACTTTAAACTTTTTACAGTGAAACACCAAAAATAATTAAATTTGTATTTTTAATCAAATGAAGTCGCTTCCATAGACATAAAATATATTACTAACAAAAACACACACACATAAACACACAAACCAACAATAATCAAAGAAAAAAATAAAATAAAAAATATAATGAGAGATATTAATAAAATTGCTTCCCGTGTATTTTATTTGTATTTGGTGATAAACGTAGCCAGAACTCGTGATCAATACCGTGACAGGCTTGACATTGACAGGAAGTGTCGGATGTCACAACTAGGTGATCATCAAACGAGCCGCGATTTACGGATTGACACACAATACTGTATACACATGATATATGTGTTGACAGATATTGTAATGCGATCACTGGTCAGCTCATATTAAACATTCCAGAAAGCGTTAAATCGCCATTATTTTTGTATGAACTAATATTATTTATACTTGAACTATAAAAAGTCAGTAGAACTACAACATTTTAGGTCTGGGCCTCAGATTTGTGTATCTGTTTCATTATCATTTGTCAATCTAATAGGCAAGTAGATCCGCCTCCATTGCCTGACTCATGCCGTCGACTTTTTGGGTCTAAGGTTCTCTTAAACATCTTGAGAAACCAAGGTTTCTGTCGTTCTTGTTGTTTGAATGTTTTCCTTCACCGTTCGAGCGCATTTAAATGCGCAAATAGGAAGTCCATTGGTGCACAGCCAAGGATCGAAGGGATGAGAGTCGCACGCTGAAGCCAATTTCAACTATATTAAGTTAAATTAAAGATAACTAGAAAAGTCCCGGCAAACGTGTAGAAATATTTAAAATATTATTACAGTAGGTACTAATATCGCTATTAAAAAATGGGGGTCAAAGTATCAAATTGGGGATTTTGAGATTTTTTTAATGGCATATAATAAAAAATATAAAGATCGGAGTGAACTTTATCACGGGGATATAAAAAATAGTTTACGACCTACTCTCAGATCTACCGAATATAAAGAATTTCATAAAAATCTGTCCAGCCGCTTCGGAGACAAACAAACAGCCAATTATGCATACATACACATAAGCGCAACGTTCATCCTTTGCCTCAATCTTCTAATTTTGTGAAAAATTAAAAAAACATTAGTAACTGTCAAATAACAATTTATAATTTTAATAATGTATTAACAAAAACGCGAGTTCATTGTTAAGGTTATAAAGTCTATAATTTAAAAAAAGTGGTTTCTTTGAATGAATATACCGTAATCAAAATGGCGCTTCAGTCCTCACCAAAAATACTAACTTCGCACATGCCTTAATATCAGATGCATATCAGACCAAAGGTTCAATTCCCTGTATACTTTATCCCTTACCATTTTTCTTTATACACACGCTGTCGAATTTTATGTCTTAGGATTATATCAATGCGTAGAACAAGTACCTATTACAAATACAAAAATTCAATTCTACACGACGTCAAAGTTGTTATTTTCGCGTCTAGACCTCTCTAAGGTTTTCTTAAATTAAAATAGCATTTTAATTCGGTTAACCCAAAGTACCACAAAACTCCAAAACCACAAGCAACGGTTGCAAATTCCACATTTCGTTCAATCATCTAAGCCGTTAGCCGCATGCCGGCCGTGGTACTGCGATCGACATTCCTAAGCCGGGCTCCCACGGCACTGCCCGCGCCCCGCACGCCGCACTCCGGAAATACCTGCGCGGGCGCAACGGCTATGCAAAGCCTATTCTAGGGTGAATGCACTAAGGGTCGAACGAAAACTTTATTCTAATGAGATTTTTTCGCATAAACGTCGGATAATTGGCTGTTTGTTTGTCTTCGACTAACACCACTAACAATAAATGTATTGATTATAAATAAGGTTTATTAAATGTCCCAATAAGTAATAATATGTATTAGTAGTAGCTGATTTAGAATTGATATTAGGAAAAGATCAAGTTTTAAATAACATATATTTATTTAACAATTTCGTAAGTATAGTTTATATACTAGAAAATATGTGTGTATATTGGAATTATAATTAAAAAATTTGTTCGAATAATCCTGAATATTTAATAGATAATACAATTTCAGAGTAGAGAAGGAGCTGCAGCTGAAAGCCAGCAATTGACGGGTGGCACAAGGCGAGGGAGCTCTGGAAGGTTCTCATTTCGGAGGACGCTATTTGTATCTCAAAACACATATATTAGGGCACTTCTATATCGAAGTACCACTGTATCTGTACCATACATAATTCCACAACGTCACCGACACGGATCACTTAATGATCTAATATGGCGCCTATTCAGGCGTTGCAAATTATAATAAAGATGGAGAATCCAATGAGTTCAAACGGCAATTCGTTCGAGCATAACTATCAGCAATTATTACCGAAAATTCGACATTAAAACCAGGAAAATTGTTCCCCAAAATTTGGTAAAATACTGCAATTAAAATTTAAATAAACGGAGGTATACACTATACAAGCCTGTCAGTCAAGCATATGACCCCTTCACTTAAAAACCCTCTGCAGTCAAAAACAGATCTCCTGTAGTATAGGAGGCACACAAAATTTACTACTAGTCTGTGGTACAAAGGAAAGCATAGCCTATGGCTTCTTTTCACAGAGTATACACAGATAAATATTATATATACCTATAGTTTTGGAAATACATTGATAAGTTAAATATCTATTTTTTATTAACATTGCGATGAATAATTTGTTATACTCGCAGTCTCAGGTAGGGATTTCAAGATTCTATTAAAAGGCAGACCCAGCTCGATAACGCAATATTAAATTAAATATGTCTAGAAATCTAGACTGGTGAAAGTACTAGATAGTGAATAGATAAGGAATACAAGGAGTATTATTCTTTTGTATTAATGGCAGTTGTCGATTCAGAGTACCGATTTATTTTTATTAGTGTGGGCTCATTTGGCAAGGAATGCGATTCTAGTATATTAAAGGATAGTACATTTTGGCAAAAGATCAATGATGGTACTTTAAATGTACCAAAGCCTAGACCGCTTCATGAAAACTTGCACGAAGAATTACCGTTTATACTTGTTGGCGATGAAGGCTTTGCTTTAACACCTAATCTCCTACGTCCATATGGAGGTACACATTTGAATACTGATAAAAAGATTTTTAACTATAGACTAAGTCGAGCAAGAAGGTATGTTGAGTGCGCTTTTGGTATTCTGGCAAATAAGTGGCGAATAATCCATCGAGCTATAGATCTCAACGTAGACACAGCAATTCAAGTAATTAAAGCTTGTGCAGTCTTACATAATTTTGTAAGAGAAAAAGATGGTATAAATTTTGAAAGTTACCAAAATATAGAACATAGACAAGAACAAGAAACTACACCCATGAATCGAAATGTGTCGAGTCGAGGTGGCCCTAATGCCAACGCTATACGGACATCATTTACTAATTATTTTGTTTCAGATATTGGTTCCGTTCCGTGGCAGGCAGCAGCTATAAAATAAAATTTATCAATGCATTTACATTTTATCAATAAAACATTAAAAACTCACCGTACTGTTTTCTTTCTTTTTCATCCAGTTCATCGAAGTTTGGTTTCAGTATTAAACATACTTCACGCCATGCTGCTAACTTTAAGTTTTTGTCTTTATAAACGTCTTCGGTCTTATCCCACAGAACAGGTCTCTCTTGGACAAGCGTAATTAAAGTTTCTGCTTGAATATCCATGCTAAACGTCTACTTTTACCAGAACATGCGAGCCGAATGACGTGAGTGGAACACGGGCGGGGCGAGGGGAGCACGAGCAGGGCGAGCGGGGGACAGATACCGGCACAAACTCGTTCACATTACTCCGGGCCCGGTCGTTCTACCGGCAATTCGTAGTGACAAAACGTTCGGTAGAAATGCCGGGCTCGGCAAAAATGCCGGACCCGGGATAATGTGAATAGCTTCATATAAATTGTACAGCCACTAGCTCTTCCGGCAGATTTACCGGCGCGGCAGATCTGCCGGTCCGGCGTAGTGGGAACCCGGCCTAAGTCGAATTGGTTCGGAAATACTTCAGTGGCCGCTGGTTCCACATAGTTGTGAATGGCGCGGCAAAAACTGCCTTAACAAATTTACTTATTATGTGATTGCTTTATTGTGTAAATTACTATTAATAGTATATACAAATGTGAAGTACTATATAAACACTAATAATTAATCGGCAAGCCGGTTAATTTCTGTTTTACTGCTTGTCCTTGGACATAGGCCTCCTCTGAGAGCTTCCACTCATCTCAGTGTCTAGCTTTACGTAGCCCAGGGCCAGCTGCTCTACATATTTCACCTTCCCATCTTTATATTTGTCTTCCTCGTTGAAGCCCTTCCGTCACTTTTTTCATCCATTTTTGTCTTCATAATGTGACCTGTCCATTTCCATTTCAGTTTATTGGAAGTAACAGCATTTCTAGACTTTGTCACGTCTTTTATTTCTTCTAGTTTTACTCTATATATCTATCTTTCGATACTATTTTGACATACTCTTAGTTTGTTTTCTTGTTTATCAGTGAGAGACCAGGTTTGACATGCGTATATGAGGCACGGTATTATACAGGCATCAGACTTTTCTCTTGTAAAACATTTTCAATTGTTTTTCATTACTTCTGACAGTGACCATTATTTTTTTCAAGTATTTGTATAAAACGTATAATAAAAAATATCGTCTTTGAAACCTAACAAAATTTAAAAAGGCAATTTCGATAAAACAGTGAATGTCTTTGATGCAATTTTCGGGGAATGCCCGCTGGCGAAGGTTTTACGACTTCATTACTTAGAAAATGGGGTGGCCGGCCATAGCAATAGATTTAATACCTATAAATATTCCATGAAATGGTAGTTATATATATATATATGTGTGTGTGTCATACAGGATTTGATAACGCTACTACGAAACGTTTTGTTAGTGATTCTTAGAATTCAGTCAATCTAACATGGTTTAAACGATAGCGTATTATCATTTATTTCCACATGAAAAATTGCACAACTTTTAGCAGCACTTTTTAAAGCACAGAACCGCGCGACACCTCTTCGCCACCAGTAGAGGTATTGCCACTCTCGTTTCACGTCACTCGTTTGCCTCCTGTCCCTTAAAAATATTGTTAAGTCATAGACTCGAGTACCTACGCCAGTTTAAACAAAAAAAAATCTATCATCAAAATCAAGTAAGTACATATAATTTTCATGTAGTAAACTAGTAAATCGAACTTTTAAATTTTTTTTAACAAATGTAAAGAACTAGCTGAAATCTTATATTTTGTGAAGAACAACTCTTATTAATCGCCAAATATTTTGTTTTATACTTGTATGGCTAACTCAAAAGGTAGAATATTGATTAAATTAAAAAAAACGTGTGTGTACTTATGTACACGCGTTAGAAGTTATATTTCTTTGGCGTAACAAGATAAAAATCTTTTCAAAAAATTTATCTTTCGCCTATTCTACGTTCGTAGAAAAAACGACACTAACAATATAAACAATTACTCTCATAATTTTTCCTTAACGCGCCAAAAGAAGTATAACTTCAAAAAAACTAAAATGTTGACTATAGCTAACTTGCGGGTGTCGGTTTTTTGTGACGGTTTGCGCTCGCATCGTAAAAATTTAGTCTCATAATTTTTCCCTAACGCGCCAAAAGAAGTATAACGTCAAAAAAGGTAACGCAGACAAAATCTCATTAATTAAAAATTGAGGCGGAAGTTATCAAAATAAAATTTAAATATACACTTGTTCCGTAATCTTAGCGTTCCTAGACCTATTTCCGGTGAGTAGTGCGGTCGGCACTTGAGGCTAGACAGGATATTATGCGGGTTTCACAGGAAATTGACGACTACGCTTCTATTATTCTTGGTTCGTCTAGCTCTAATAGGTTGTTAGATTGTTTTTTTTTATGACGCAAAAACCACACCTGGAGGATTTCATACGAGATTTTTTTATATTTTAGGAATATATCTGTTTTACTCTGGGAAAAAAATAATAATAATGGTACAATCGTAAGTTCGTTCTGCCACACACAATGGCGCGCAAATATATATTTTAAGGAAATTTACATTTTACATTATTAGTCATATGAATTGGTCAATTCTTATATTATTTGTATCGTACACATCATAGCATACGTTATTAAATTTATATCAACTACAGTGTCTCACGCAAATAATCATTTATTAAATCATACATTTTTGTTGTAAAATAATTGTAAATTTATAATAAAACATAACTTCAAATCCGTTAAAAAAGTGTTTTTCTAATACATTTATTTTCAAAAGTAATACACCAAGTCGATTTTTAAAATCTCTAGTAGAAAGATATTTTAATTCTTTTGGTAAATTATTGTAAACCTTGATTGCCATACAAAAGGTGTTTTTCCTAAACAATTCCAGATTGATTTTTGGCACAGCCAATTTCTCCCCATGTCTACTTCGACAGATGTTTATTCCCGTTGACTAAAATATATATAAAATATATATGTATGTTTTTTTGCACGAATAAGGACATTTATAAAATATACATACAGGAAAGAGATAAAATTTTGAGCTTCTTCGCAGGTACGCAACCAAAATCATATTGTTACTTTGTATTAGTCTACTACTTCTAAACTAGGAAATACAAAATTCCATTACACTATATTGAATGTCACAGGCAATTAAAACGTGTCAATATGTATACATTATAAAGTTACCCCTACCGTGAACACTCCCCTTGAGCAAATCAATCATTCCGCGCCCTTGAACCCTAGAAAATTATATTAAAACGAACCCTAGCCTAGGTTAGAGCAAAGTCAAGGTTTTCCTTTGTTTTATAATAGAAATCATAGTCAATACTACTTGCTGTTTTATTGTTTGTACACAACGTTTACGGAATGTCACTAACTTTGCAAAATGATTATTTGAATTGACAGTGTTTAGTCGAGGAATGTTTTGTTTATAAAGACAGATTAAACACTGCATTTGTTTTTAAGATATTGTAACCCTCAGTGCCTCTAGGAAATTGAATCATAGAAAGAGGATTGTTTAAATATAATAAATTTGACGAATTCCTCCAAAACCACCAATACGTGGAACCAGCTGCCCACTGAAGTATTTCCGAATAAATTCGACTTAGGGTCCTTCAAGAAAAACCGGCAACGCACTGCGAGCCTTCTGGTAATGTGAGTTTCCATGGATAATGTGAGTCAAAAATCATTTATTAATTTAGGTAACACAATGTACACTTATAAACGTCAAAAAAGAAATATACATTAAATGCTTCTAATTTAACATTTACTGCTAGTTCTCAAATCAAGAAAGGAAGAGAAGAACTGGCATTATCACTTAACATCAGGTGAGCCTCCTGGCCGTTTTCCTGCTATTACACAAAAAAATCATCATTAAAATTACAGATAACCGTTTTATTTATATATTAAATTTACCAACAATTAATCTATGATAAAATGTAAATCAAAACATTTTTACGCATTCGAAATATAACGCTATAAAACTTACCAAGTATGACAAACTTTCTTGGAGTAATCGCGATATTTTCTCAAGTAAAGTTAGGTTATTACAGCGATTCGAGCGTTGTTACAAACTTCGCCCCATTCACAATTAACGCTGATCTCTTGGAAAACTTTACATCTTTACAAAGATGTCATTCGTGATCGCCGATTATATTGAAGAATACATTTTAATTGTAATCTAGTTATGTACCAAATAATACAATAATAGACAATTATTGACCAGAATTCCATGGAACCTACTACGTGGACTGACGGCATCGTCAAGGAGGTTGACTCCCAGTAGATGCAGAGAGGTTAGTGCTGGGCGTACTGGAGGTAGATGGAGGAACCCTACGTCCGGAAATGGACCAATAAAAGAAGATGATGATCAAGGCACTACAATTATTTTAATTCCTCCGATTGTAAGATTAAGCTAGACTACTTCCAGCTAGTACTTTACTAACTTGTTATGCTATAGATATATATTATATATGCGACAGTATTAAAAATTTTATGTTTTTAAGCTTTCTAGTAAGATTCAGAATGAAACGGAGTATGATTGGTGTGCACAAGACAGGGAAATAATTTAGAAATTAGACATGTCACGTGTTGCGGCTCACAAGACAAGAGAACCAAAATCGTCACATCCTGGTATCCATCCAAGTTGAAGATGGGTACTGGACTTTTAGTCTTTTATATATTATACTAGCTGCCCCCGCGAACTTCGTTTCTCCTCAATTCCTAGCCTACCTTTTTAGTACATACCAACATGGAACATTTTGATATGCTAGGGGTAGTAGTCTCTCTGGGGAGAGACTGTTCGGTTTTTCGGAATTAAAACTTTTTAGGTTTTTCTGTTATTTTTCTCTATATAAACCTCAGAGAGTTCAAGTTATTTAAGTTTTTAACTAACAAATAAAAAATAGGGGTTTATCATAGAGGGTAGATAAAAATTAGGGGGTTGTATGTATTTTTATATGCTGTATCATA